GAACAATGCCCAACTTTATATGGAAAAAAAACAGATAGCTGAAACAATCCTGTATTATAAAGGAACTTCTGGAAGCATCATCATCGCTGACTTCAAGGTATACTATAGAGCTATAGTAATGAAAACAGCTTGGCATTGCTATAAAATCAGACACGTGGCACAGGAGACTATTTTCTAAATGTAATACCAGTAACACAGACAATATCAACAATTAATAAATGGAACCTCCTAAAGTTGAAAAGCTTCTGTAAGTCAAAGGACACTATAGGACAAAACAGCAGCCTACAGACTGGAAAAAGGTCCCCATCAACCTTACATCAGATAGAGGACTGTTACCCAAAATATATAAAGAACTCAAGAAATTAGACATAAAAATACCAAATAATTCCATTGAAAAATGAAGTATAAATTTAAAAAGAGAATTCTCAACAGAAGAATATCAAATGGCCAAAATACACTTAAAGAATTATTCGTCATCATTAGCTATCAGGGAAATGCAAATCAAACTGACTCTGAGATATGTGTTACACCTGTCAGAAAGGCTAAGATCAAAGACATCAATGACAGCTTATGCTGGAGAGAATGTGGAGTAAGGGGAACACTCATCCACTGCTCATGGAAATGCAAGCTTGTACAACCACTTTGGAAATCAGTATGGCAGTTTCTCAGAAAACTGGGAATTAATCTACCTCAAAACACAACAATACCACTCTTGGGCTCATAGTCAAAGCATGCTCAATCATACCACAAGGACACTTGCTCGACTATGTTCATAGCAACATTATTCATAAAAATCAGAACCTGGAAACAACCTAGATGCCCCTCAATTGAAGAATGGAAGAAGAAAATATGGTGCATATACACAAAGGAGTGTTAGTCATTGGAAAAAACAATGACTTCATGAAATTTGCAGGCAAATGATGGAACTAGATAAAGATTGTCCTGAGTGAGATAACCCAGACCCAAAAAGACAAACATGCCATGCACTCATTCATAAGTGAATATTAGATATAAAAGAAGGAATTATCAGGCTACAATCCTCATCCCCAGAGAAGCTAAGTAACAAGAAGGACCCTAAGAGGAATGCATGGATCTCTCTGGGAAGAGAAAATAGATGAGTTGCTCTGGTAAACTGGAGGTGGATGGGATAGGGTGGAAGAGATGGGGGAATGGGAACATGAGGGATCAGGATGGTCGAGGTGGGGGAGATATGGAGGAAGGGAGTAATGAAAGAGATATGTTGATAGAGGGGGCCATCATGGGGTTAGGGAGAAACCTGGTGCCAAGGAAACTCTCAAGAACCCACAAGGATGACCCCAGCTAAGACTCCTAGCAATAGTGGAGAGGATGGCTGAATTGGCCATCTACTGTAATCAGATTGGTGACTACCCTAATTGTCATCAGAGAGCCTTTATCCAGTAACTGATGGAAGCAGATGCAGAGATTCGCAGCCATGCTTTGGGCCAAGCTCCAGGAGTTCAATTGAAGAGAGGGAGGAGGGATTATATGAGCAGTGGGGGGGGTCAAGATCATGATGGAGAAAGCCACAGAGACAGATGACCTGACCTTACTGGAGCTCATGGATCCTGGAGTGAGCCAGCATGGGACCAACCTAGTCCCTTTGCTTCTGGTGACATTGTGTTGCTTGGTCTTTTGTGAGGTTACTAGCAATAGGGCCAGGACCTGTACCCGATGCATGAATTGACTCTTTGTAACCTATTCCCTATGGTGGAATGCCTTGCCCAGCCTTGATGCAAGAGGGAGCAGCTTGGTCCTATCTCAACTTGATGTGCCATGCTTTGTTGACTCCCGCAGGAGACCTTACCCCTTCTGAATGGTGAAGGAAGAGAAGTGGATAGATGGGGGTAGAATGGAGGTAGGGGGAGGGAACAGGAGGAGAGGGGAGAGGGTAAACTGTGGTTGATAGATAAAATTAATTAATTAGTAATTAATTAGCTCATTAATTATAAATATCCATGGGGAAATACTTCTTAATTTCTTTTCCTTAATGTGGCCCTGACACATTTTGGGTACTTTGGGTCTACTATTAGTGCATTCAAACCAACTGCTTCTTTATAGTCTGTCTTTCCAAAATTTATCTGACACTTGTCCCTGAGATACCTTATAAAATTCACTTGTCACTGGAAGTGGTAGCACAATATTTTAATCTCATCACTCAGGATGCAGATGTAGGTGGATTTCTGTGAGTTGGGAGCCAACCTGGTCTACATAGTAAGTTCCAGACCAGCTAGGGCTACACAGTAAATAAATTAATGGTTTTTTAAAATTGTTTTTCACAAAGGAGAAGTCTACATGCATTAAGTGCTTGCTGAGCAAGCAAAGGGATATGAGTTGGACACACACACACATATACACACATACACACACACACATGAGGGAATGTGTGTCCATACTGGCTGCCCAGTCTAGCCTACAGGGAGAACTCCAGGTTCAGTGAGAAATGCTGCTTCAAAAAACAAGGTGAAGCCCTTGATGCAGGGGAGAGGAGCTTGGTCCTTCCTCAACTTGATATGCCATGCTTTGTTGATTCTCATGGGAGGCCTTCCTCCATATGAATAGAGATGGAAGAGGACTGGATGGGGGGGTGGAGAAGGGAGGTGAGGGGCGGGAATAGGAGGAGAGGAGGAAGGAGAAACTCTGGTTGGTATGTAAAATAAAAATGCTGAATAAAAAGAATCAAAAATTAAAATGAAGAGTTATTAAGGAAGATACTGCCCATTAGCTTCTGACCTCCTTTCGAGCAGGAGTGAGCACATGCATGGTGGGGCAGGGAAGCTATTTAGAGGACAATGGGTAGACTACGAAATCAGCCATTAGATGAAAAACTAAATCATGTACTGATTCCTTGAATAAAGGTCTTGGCAAGAGCTAACCATGGCTGTTGTGGTCTGTGCTCAGTGCCACGGGGTGGGCTGTAAACTCCATTATGAAATCAGTAAATGGTTTGCGAATGCCTGACAAGTCAGCATGAGAAGTACAAAGTGATAATCCCATTAATTTATTCATTATTTTTTCCTCTCATTTTTTTAAAGGATAGAGAAAGTTGGGAGAGTAGGAGGTGGCAAGGAGCTCCTGGGCCTTCATAGAGGTACATGGGAGGAACCAGAATTTAGACTTGGGATTCCTAGGTTATAATTTATGCAAGTATCTAATTTGTGGTGTGTGTGTGTGTGTGTGTGTGTGTGTGTGTGTGTGTGTGTGTGTGTGGTCTTTTGCTGTTATAAAATACATGTAACGTAAATGTTAACTCTATACTCATCTAAAGTATAGGATTGAGCAAGGTTTGGGGTGACATGTCTTTAGTCCTTGCACCTGCAAGTCAGAAGCAGAAGGATAAGGAGTTCAAGATGATCCTCGACTAAATAGCAAGTTCAAGGGTCTCTTTACATGAGACCTTGTCCAAAAGTAAAATAGAATAAACTGGTGGTACTGGGCCCTGTCTCTATTGCCAGAATTCAGGAGACAGAGAACTAGATCAAAGGCATGTACCACCACACCTGACTGATATTTGATAGAAATGATTTCAAACAACATGCTGAATTTTGCATCAGGCTTCCTTCATGTAGCATAATTTTTTATATTCATTGATAATGAAGCTTGTTTCAATGTCTAATTTCTTTACCTCAAAGCTCATTCTCATAGTCAAATGCTATTTTTTATTTCACTTTTTATGATACTTCCAAATAGTTTCAAATGCATTTGGGGTATTTTGATATAATTTCATTGTTTACAAATTATTCTTTAAATAATGTCTCTTCATTTCATATTTTATTTAATTTTTATTCTTTCTTTGTTTTCTTTTTAAATGACTTAGTGCATGCCTAACATGTGTAAGTCCTGGGTTTGATCTCCAATAACACACACACACATGCACGCACACATACACAATCCAATAGAATCTTCCTTTGATGAGCCCCTCGAAACCAATCTAGAAAAAGCACTTCCTCAATGAAAGTGTTTTTCTGAGGAACCTTGTCTAAAGATGAACTGCTCCTTCTCCCGGTTCTATGATGAGGAGGGAGGAGCAAAACAGTCTGAGAGTAAAATCAATCCCATGTCCTTAAAGAACAGCTTGAAAGTGAACACTGCCAACAGACTCTTCCGCTGTTTCTCCTAATATGAACATGCCTACAATGGTCCAGGCATGATGGTGCACACTTTTAAACCCGGAGGCACTCCAGAGGCAGAACCAGGAGGATCTCTAAGAGTCTGAGACCAGCCTGTTTTACAGACTGAGTTCCAGGACAACCAGGGTTATGAAGTGAGTCCTTGTCTCAAAAAACAAACAAACAAATAATAAATAAATAAAATCATGCAGTGAGAAAAAGATGTTCAGCCTTGGGATGCTCATTTTAGTGGAGAAAACTCAGTCAGAAACTTCTGCAACTGTCTCGCCTTCCCTGCCTGTTTCTGCCAGATGTGGTGAACGCCTGATGTGATGGTGTTTGCTCTTTTCCTTCCCAACAAAATCTTCACCTGAGGAGATACTGCTATGCCTGGGACCCTCCGCATTGGGAACACCAGCTGGCTGCCTTGTCCGTTTTGACTGGGAGTTTTCAGATTCCAAACTGATGTGTTGATATTTCTCTATCTCTTGCTACTTATTTTTCCTTTGGCTTACTCTATACTTCTCTAAATTACCCCTATTAAAAATATACCGCAATGTGTCCATCATCTTTCGTTAAGGAGCAACATATTCCTTCACTAAACATGGTCATGGATAGGCCAGCTTCTGGAGTGATTTTTTTTTTATGAATACGTATAGGTTTCCCCAAATAAAATCCCTACCCTTCCTTTACTGCAGAAGTATTCAGAAATAAGTAAAGAGACTTCTGGGGATGGACCGAGGGTTGACGTTGTCCACTGGAGCAGTAGGAACTACATTACCCATAATGCCAAGAGGAGCGTTGCAAATGTTGAGCCAATGACAATAGTTTCAGATTGGCAGGACAGTCAGGCACTGGGCGGGACTTCCTACATTGTGTCCTGTCTATGGTTTAACTTCCCATGGGTAGATTGTTGAAAGAATCTGAGCTTTTAGATCGCCAAGTTGGACTCAAGGTAAGGAATCGAGCAGGCGCGGAGTGACGGCTGATGAGACCACCGGCCGTGATGATGGCTGTGCGCGGGCCCAAGCAACAACAGCAGAGTCCAATGGCGACTCAGAAGCACCCGGCTCAGGTGAGTGCTGCATACTAGGCGCCCCCCCCCCCCCCCCGCCCCAGACACTGGAGTCCTAGAGCCTGTTGAGCGCCCCCCACCCACACCACCCATGCTCAGCTCACGCCCCGCTGGAAGAAATCCCTGAGTCCAGAACAGCACCGAGCCCGTGGATAGGGTCCCCATTTCCCATAACTAGTGTAATGAGGCTTGGGAGAGAGAGAGACCAGGAGGAGACTGATTGATTGGTATAGGTAATGTCATGTTTGGACACTTGAGCTGAAAGCATTCTAGTTTTAGAAAATGTCAAGGTGGAGCGTATTATTTACGTCCTCAGGGACCTGGGAGCCAGCGGAACTGGGTGGTAGATGAATGCGGTCAGAGGCTATTCAAAATATTTCAAAAGCTGCACAGAGCTAAAACAGGTTGGAAGGGGATACATAAGGAGCCTCGGGAAGGCTGAGCTTTGAGCAATACCCCATAGCTGGTATGGCTTAGCGTTGTGCACTAAGGTTTAGAGATAGTTTCAACATACAAAGGTTGTGAAGATCTGAGACTGGACAGGGGTCACGGAAAGGCCTGAACTCATGAAACTGTACCGTGGTGCTTGACTCTTATAACTTTCTTCCCACAGATAACGAGGTCCACAGAAACACATATGGTCTGTACACAGGTGAGTGAGGAGTGTTCCAGAACCTCACCAGTGTGGCCCCACTCCTTGTCTCAAGCTGGTAGTAGAGTTCATTTTTGTGGGACTTGATAAGAGTGGGTTGCACAGTCCAGCATGGAAGCACACCCCTGTAATCTCAACACTTGGGAAGACAGAGGCAAGAGGACCGCCAATTCAAAGCCAGCCTGGACTACGTGGTGAGAACCTGAGAAAGACAGAGTGGTTGGTAAGATAACTCAGCAAGTAAAGGCACTTGCCACCAAACCAGAGGACCTAAATCAATCTCTAGAATCTCCATGGTAGAAGGAGAGAACTGGCTCCTACAAATTGCCCCCTCTCATTCCCTTGTTTATTCCCACATACACGTGCATGCAGACACACACACCACACACAATTCATAAATGAATAAACCTAAGGGAGAGAGAGAGACAGGACCAGCATGGTAGCTCAGTGGGTAAAGGCACTTAGCACCAAGCCTGAGAACTTGAACTAACTAACCCCAGCACACACACAGTGGAAGACAGTGGATCAACTCCGTTAAGTTATCCTGACCTTCGCATGCATGCTGTTTCACACACACGAAAACTCACACAGTTAATAAATAAATAAATACCAAAAGAGGGATATTGAGATTTCAAAATCCATAGTGGAGGTGTTAGCTGCTAGCTAAATAAGATCTGAAACTCTGGGAAAGATTAATCCTAGAGACACCCCAAATGGTGAAGGCTGATTTTTCCCTGAACTGTAGCTTGACTTTCAGTTAGGAAATGGAATTGGGTCTTTTTTATTTTATTTTTTGTTCTTCACTTCTTTATGTTCTAAAGGCTGGGTTTTTGTTGTTGTTGTTGTTGCTGTTGTTTTTAACTCCTTAGGCCAGCTGGTACTCCTTGCTTCAGCCTTCTAAGTGCTTGGACAATGAGTATGCACATCATGCCCAGAAGGAACCTGGTCTTGATAGGAATGCCATTAGCAGAAACGTAAGGGTGAGAGCCACGACTAGATCAGATGACTGAGCAGCATCTAGCTGGAGATATACACATCTTTAGCACACCTGAGGGAGTGGAGGAGCTGTCGGAACCATGGGAGAATGTAGCTGATCTAGTAGCTGGCCAAGGCTTCCATAGGAAGCATGGACCACACACACACACACACACACACACACACACACACACACCAGCCTCACCAGCAGTTAGGAGGGATCCTTGCGGTGTCTGAGGAGGTTCTTTCAGAGAGATGGGGAGCTCGGGGGCACAGGTGTTCATCTAGGAAGATCTCCTTCTGGAGAGGAGGGCTTGTGTAGATAGACATTCAGTAGAGTTTAATTAGAGGAAGCCTGTGACGGGTGGGGTGGCGCTGAATGCCTCACAAATGGGAAATCAACCTGTCATTCCCCAAGTCGTGATGGTGGCTAGTATTAGAGCAAGTAACAGAGTCACCCATAAAGGCACTGAGAGGATGGCAGCGGCCCCTGACACTAGAAAGTCTCTTACTTCCATTTAGGAAGCTTTCTCTAGATACCTTCTGCTAAACAATGCCCAGGCAGATGCCTCTGGTATGTATGGGGCTGGGGTTTGAGGTGCCTGTGGGGTGAGCTGTTAGAAGAGAGGTATGGAGTAAGAAAAAACACATAGCGGTAGGAAATGTTAGCTCGACACCTGCAGGCCTTAGGATTTGGATGACAGGCAATGTCTTACTTGGTTTTGTGGGGAAACCCTAGGAAAATTGCTTGACCAAAGTCAGGTTAACTCGACTTTGTGAGCTGTCTCTGTCAGTTAAAGAGTTAAAGACCGGAAAAAGAGATCAGAACAGAACTAAGTTTACTGATAAGCTTCCCAGACTCTTCAAGTACGTGGAGGGGGCCATTCATTCTTACCTGAGTACCATTATCTCTAAACGTGTGTGGAATTATCTGTGTTCAGGGTGCCCCACCCCCATCCCCACACCCCCTTTCTATTGGCTGATAGATATCTCATACCCCTTCAATAGCGAATGAGTCTCAGCCTCTGTCTATGAGCAAGGAAACCATTGCAATAGGACCCTGCCATGACCTAGTTTGTGAGCAAGGAAGCAGCTGTAATAGGGACCCTTCCCTTAGTGCATGAATAACTGTGGACTGACGGGATAAGAGTGGGCACCCCAACCCCTTCTGCTCTCTGTGGTTTGACAAGCACAGAGAGACCCACCACATGCAAAGGGAAATGAGCTGGTGTAGAGGAGTCAAAACTGACCGCCTGTTGCTTAGGGGGAAAAAAATTTAATATCCTCACGCTGTGGTTTTTATGTTCCACCTTCTCCAATCCTTAGGGCCCATAGCCTCAAAAGAAGTTTTGGTAGCCTTGTTATTGGCAGGTCTAATAGCTACTCCTCCATCACCTTTCTCTGGGCGCATTGGGTGATTGTGGTGATCTAGGAATGAGGTCACAGGTGAGTCAGTGTGTTGGGCGTTCTTTCTTCTCAAAAGGACAGTAAGCAAAGGGAGGATGCATGGGTGAGAAAACTAGGAATCCTAAAAGAAGATTTCCATTGACGGACTTGCCTCCATCACAGGACTACATGACCTTTGAAGACGTGGCTGTGTACTTCTGCCAGGAAGAGTGGGAGCTCCTGGATGAAGCGCAGAGGCTACTGTATCTCGATGTGATGCTGGAGAACTTTGCACTCATATCCTCACTAGGTAAGGCCCCCGTATCTCCCCTGTGTCCTGGTTCCCATCTCTTTCTCCTAGAACCAGAGCTCTGCCCTTTCCACAGTCAAGCTGTAGGCCTGTTGACTTCCCTACTTTCTCGGCAGGTGTGTTATGGGTATCAGTGCTGAGCTATGGGCACTGCCCTGAGCAGCCCTAACACATGCCACCCCGGAGCATTCATCAGAATGTCTGGGTGGCAGAAGTCCCACCGTGAGGGTAATGTGTCTGTCTTAGTTTCTTTTCTGTGGCTTTGATAAAATATCTTGACAAAAGCAACATGAGGGAGAAAGGCTTTGTTTAGACTCAACAGTTCCACATGATACTCCATCATGACTGAAAGGTCACACCAATTTGAGAAAACTGGTCACATCACACCCACAGTCGAGAGCAGAGAACAGTGAGATAATGCATGCCACTGCTCAGCTCATATTCTCATTCATGGTCAATCTAGGATTGCCAAACCCAGGGAATGGTGACACCCATAATGGGCAGCTATCCACCTTGATTAAGGTATTACAGACATACCAGTGGGCCTTTTTCCAGGTCATCCGAGATTGTGTTAAATTGATAGTTAAAAATAACCACAGCTTCTAGATGGCCATGTTTGTATCCATAATTCCTTTATCGCCAAGGTTTTCCCGTTCTAGCTGGTGTCTGATCACTGTCTCTTCCAGAAATTTCATGTTATGATGCTTGGTGCTTATGTGGACTGTGGACTGTTGTACAAGACCCTCTATCTAGACCTCTTTAAAATACTGATCTTTTTTTTTTTTTTAACTAATCACTCTGTCTTGTCTTTCTTTAAGACTTACATTATCTATTTCCTGTGTAGTTGAACAACATGGGTGGGGAGAAAGTGCTGATTTCTTTCACAAGGTGGACATGCCAAGATGATCACAACAGTTGCCTGTTTCTCACAACTGAGAGCTGATGTAGGATATGACAGCCAGGTTGGGTTCAGATCAAGCCAGGAGTCCGCACTGTGTCTAACAGTGCTTTGATGTAAGTGTGTCGTGTGAAACAGCCGCCTGCAGTTGGAGATGGCCCAGCCTCCTGTTCCAGTCACCCTGCCTCCACTCTGCCACCGTGGACCCTTATCCCTCTGGAATAAACCCTCCCATTAACTGCCTTGGTCATTGTGTTTACTCGCAGTAATGGAAAGTAACTGACATACGGACAAAAAAGAAAGTAGTTATGGTGTCTAGGTTTTCATAGCACCAAGAACCAAGCCTCTCTCTTCTCAGGTAGCTACTGGTATCCAATGATTCAGTTTATCTAGCAGGAGTTCAAATAAATCACACAGTTAAAAACAAAAAAAACAAAAACAAAAACAAAAAAAAAACCACTGCTCCCAATTAAATGCAGGTTTTTAAAGTATTCTCTTGTAATGTGAATGTCTCTGGTGTCTGTGATACTATTTCCCTGTTCATTTCTGATTTTTATTATTTCTTATTATCTACTGGTCTGGGTTTGTATTGTTCTTGTGTTTTTCAAATTTTTGAGTTCCTTCATTAAGTCATCAATTTGAATTATTTCTGATTTTTAATGCAGTCACTCAGAGCTGTGCAAACATATTTTTAGTGTATGGACATATCTTTTCTAATTTTATTTGTGTATTTTTTAGGTATGAGTGCCCTGTCTGCACATATGCTGGCAGGCCAAAAGAAGGCATAAATCCCATTCCAGGTGATTGTGAACTGCCATGTGGTTGCTGGGAATTGAACTCAGGACCTCTGGAAGAGCATCCAGTGCTCTTAACCTCTGAGCTATCTCCAGACATAGGATTATTTTTAATGTGTCCCCTAGGTTTTTGATGTATTGTGTTTTCATTTTCATTTAGCTCCAGGAATTTTTTTTTCTTTCTCTCCCTTCTTCTTCCTTCTCCTGCCAGCCCAACACTCAATAATGCCTTGAATGCTATTGAATTTGTGCTCTTACTAGAGATTTGTTTGCTGTTAGTTTTAAGTTTTATCACTTTATAGTCACATAGGATATTTGGAGTTATTTCTATTTTTCTGAATTTGTTAAGATTTGCTTTATGTCCAGGATATACTCTATTTTAGGAAGCTTCTTGGTTCCAGGCTGACCTGGAACCTGCCTCTGCCTCCTTGGTCGTTGCCTGACTGAATTTTTTTCTTCCTTGATCCATTCAGTCAGCCTATTCCATTGGAGAATTAAAGTCCTTGATAGTTAAACTTATTTAAAGGTGTCCATTGATTACAGTCATTCTTTTGCTGGCTGTGTCTTGGCAATGCTTATTCCTCTGTTTGTTCCAAAGTATGGCTTCCCACATTATGTTTAGGGTTGACCCGCTGGATATGAATTCTTTCTCTTTGTATCAGAGAAAGTTCTTCTTTCTCCTTCAACGTTTTCTTTCTTTAACTATGAAAGATAGTTTTGCTAGGTAGTGTAGTCTGGGTTGGTGGTCATGATCTTATAGAATTTGGAGTACACTGCTCTGGGCTCTTCTGGCTTTCAAAGTTTCCATTGAGAAATCAGCTGTTGTTTAGATGACTTTTTCTTATATGCAACTTGGTGTGTTTTCTCATAGATTTTAATAGTCTTTCTTTATTCTGTATATTTAGTGTTTTAACTATTATATGTCATGGGAAGGTTTTTTTCTGGTCTTGTCTACATGATGTTCTGTGTACTTTTGTATCTATATGTCTTTTCTTACTTTAGGGAAGTTACTCTAAGATCTTGTTAAAGGTCTGGCCTATGCCATTGGCCACAAATTTCTCTTCTTCATCTTTGTCTAAAATTCAAAGATTGAAAAAAATAAATTTTAAAAATTAAACAATAAATAAATAAAATTCAAAGGCTGGGTCCTTTCATGGTGTCCCAGAGTTCCTGCATTTTCCTTTCCTGTGCTTTGCAATGTTTTCATGATCACTGTTTTTGTAGCCTAATTCTCGTGCTTCAAGACACTGCTCCTTTTCAAGACACTGTATTCTGCCTTCTACTCTATCCATTCTATTTATAAGGTTTTCCATGAGCTTTCTATTTGTTGAGTTGTCTTTGAGATATGATATTTGGTCTTCTGTTTGATTCATTCTATGTGTAAGGCTTTTGCTAGTTTTTCAGATGGGTTGTTGAGTTTTTCAATTCCATCTTCATTCCAGCTTGAGTTTTCTGTCTCTCTTTCCTAAATTCAGATTTCAAATCCTGAATTGTATCATGGTTTCATTCAGCCATGTTTTTGTATTTTCTTAGACATCACTTGGGTGTTTATTGTTATCCTATTAAAGTTCAGTTTTCTCTAAAAACCTTGAAGCTTTTGGTAAAGTTTATGATTTTGATTTGTTTTTTTGTCTTTGTTTTCCTAGTTTGTTTTTAGACAGGGTCTCACTTTGTACCTCTGAGTGTCCTGAAACTCAGTATATGTAGGCCAGGCTAACCTCAAACTCTCAGCAGTGTCTCACCACACCTGATGGTGATACTCCCTTATAATTCTGGATCCTAGGATTCATCTAGGTAATTCGCATTAAAGAATATTTCTATCAGACTAGTGGTTTTGATGGGAGACATGCTGCCTTGGCCTTTCATAATGCTTTGTTTTTTCAGTGTGATGTGGGCACATGGACTTACTTATTTCTTTGGCTCTGTGTCTGATATGAAATTCTGTCCTGCCTTGGATTATACAAATATGGGATCTGTGGGATGGACCTAGGCCAGATAAAACTGGTACATGAGCTGTTTGGTTGATGCTAGGCCTTTGGAGATGAATCTTCTTTTAAAATATACATTCATACACAACCCATACACATACACACACACCACTACACACCACACACATACACACACACCACTACACACACACACGATACACCGCACACATACACCACATACACACACACTGCACACACTCACACCACACACATACACACACATACACACATATACATATTATATATGCGATCATAGTACTATCATTTTCTACCTTTTTTTCTTTTTTAATATTCCTCACTTCTGTGTATCTGTGTTTGGATTTCTGTTTGTGGAATTTGAGATATTTCTGAACCTTTGGTTTTTTAAGTTCCATTTTTCGCACATCGGATGATCTTGGGAGGTAGGGAAGGCCTGTGGTCTGCACCTTTTGTTTAGATATTTACTTGATGAGCTCCTCGTGTTAGGTATAGTTTCTGTAGAAATGGTGACTGCTCCTAAAGTGTTCTACTTTCACATAACATGCTTGGACTCTGCATCTGGAAGAACAGTGGTCACTTTAGCTTTGTTTTGTGATAACTTGATAGGCATGTCGACTAGGGGCCTTCGACCCTCTTTGCCATCATCTATAAAGGTGGAGAGTGTGTGTTAAAGTCAGTGGGGAATGCCACTGAGGCTCAGTACCCAACCTTTAGTCCTCATGCTATCCTTCACTGCCTACCTGTTGAGTGGGCCCCTCAGTCATTTTAAATTGTAATGAGGGATACCTCACATTGTTTCTTCTGGAGCATTCATCTCCCAGCAGCTCGCCAATAGCCCTGAGAATTCCTGCAACTACAGCCCATCCTGCTCTTACCTTACTATGTGGTCCCCAGAACCAAACAGGCCCAGAGACACACAAGTGGCCTTCAACCTTTAGACCCAAAGACACATTGAGAAGACATAACACTTACCAAACAGTGTGACCCTTAACAGTTTTAAGTTGAACAGTACACAGACAAGTACCTAGCAAAGCGCATGCATACCGGTGCTCAGAAGGGCAGTTGGGCAACATGTGTTGATCAGTACTTCAGGCACTAACTGGAGTAGTCCAGGAAATGGCCCCTGCTCCACCACACGAGCAGCCCTGGCTGCTGTCGCACTTCCGCTAATACGTACCATGGGTTTTAATTTCCAGAGATGACTGAATGGCAGATGACTGAATGAGAGGTGAGTGCTATTGAAAGGGGCTTTATTTCTGAGAGGGGGTGCACTCATCATTCAAGGATGTCGTGAGGAACCAGCAGGTGCTGAGGATGCAAATGCAAGAAAAGACTGGCGGCGGATCATGTGCACTCGGGTGCAGGCCAGAAGAGAACATTGCAGCTCTTGAAGCTAGAGTTAAGATGTAGATGGTTCTGAGCTACCCACTGTGGATAGTGGAAATCAAACTTGTGTCTTTTGGAAGAACAGTGCTCACTCTTAACCACTGAGGCATCTCTCCATCCCCAGGATATGGCCTTCTTGTCTCAAATACGGCTGGGGTGGTTAGGGCAAAGAAGTCTATTCTTGTCTATACAAACTCTGTAGACATGGTTTGCAGTGTCGGATATGGATTATTCTAACAGCAACTGAACTATGTGTTTGTACTTAAGTTTTATGCTAGCTATTAAGAATTGGCCTCCCTACCCACACTATAAAGGAATGAAAAGGTTAGGAGAAAAACAGAAAAAGAGAGGGAGAACAAAAAAAAAAGGAAAAAAAGAGTTAGAGAGAGGATTCTATGATTAGGAGTTCTTGCTACTCTTGCAGAGAACCGGAGTTTGACTCCTGCCATGCCCATCAGGCAGCTTACAATCTACAACCCAGCTCCAGGAGATTTGACATCCTCTCTGGCCTATGTGCATGTGCACATATACACAGACACACTTATGTACACAACACATAGAAAGACAAAAATAAATCTTAAAGAAAAAAAGGAACTAAAGAGGTAGACATTGGAGAGATGTTTCCATTTAACATCTACACAGTGGCTACAAGGGAAGAACTGGCTGTCTGCCCTATAGTCTTCCCTCTTTTATGGAAACATTTAAATAATATTCCTTCTTCCCCCACCAACCACAAAAATAGAATCCACCTGCAGATGGTTGGCTACAAGCAGATTGCTGAACACTCGCTAGTCTTTAGAGAGATATCTACCAAAGAGGGAGATTTTCTTTGAGATATTAAACTGGTTTATGTCTTTTTTCCTTCTATTCAGTTGATAAAACTTTTATCTTTGTAATAAAGGTAGCTTGAAGTTTGGGTAAATATTTTTCTCGTGTATCCTGTTAATAAGATGATCTGAATATAAAGCTAAGCATATAAAATTTAAAATAAAAACCATAGCCACCCCTCATGATGAATTCTTAAGGAGAATGAATGTTAAACATGATTGGTAATGCCAGCCACAGTGAATATGTTCTCTGTTCTTGCAGGTTGTTGGCATGAAGCAGAGGCGGAAGAAGCAGCTTGTGCACCAAGTGTTTCACCAGCTGAAAAGCCACAGGTCAGGACTCCAAAGGAGGGCCTACCCACACAGATGACTCATCCTTCTGACATCTGTGTCGCCATCCTGAAAGACATTTTACATCTGAATGACCTACCTGCGCAGAAACCATATTTGACTGAGGTGTGTGCAAGCCTCCTGGACCAGAAGCATCATAGAGCCAAGAATTGGTTAAAGAGAGATGTGGACTCCCTTGTGAAGAACTGTATATTTCATGTATCAGAGAATCCTTTCATCTGTAGTAAGACTGGAGAAAACTTCTCAGCTGTGTGGAATCTTTTCCAACCCCAGGCCCTTCCCAACGGTGAGAATCAAAACAAAATTAAGCATGGAAAGACCTTTCACACGAATAAAAATAATTCTAAGTCAGATGAATATAAGAAACCTTCCAGTCCCCAACACAGACTTCTTGAGAACCAGGGAGTCTGCAGTGAAAAGGAGGGGTTTGGATCTAGCAAACATAAGCAAGACTTAAACAAGTACACACTTGTACCACCCCAGACAGAGCAGACTGAACAAAGATCATATGAGTGTCGCGACTGCGGGAAACTGTTTGGCCAAAAGGCCACACTTAGAATACACCAGAGGCGTCACACTGGAGAAAAACCTTATAAGTGTGGGAAATGTGGAAAGTCTTTTTGTCAGAGCTCCAACCTCAGCGAGCACTGCAGAGTTCACAGTGGCGAGAGACCTTATGAGTGTGTGGAGTGTGGGAAAGCCTTCGGGTGCCATTCTAGTCTTCTCCGGCACCAGAGAACGCACACAGGAGAGTGGCCGTATGAATGCGGTGACTGCGGAAGACTGTTTAGACAGGTCGTCAGCCTGATCACGCACCGGAGGACGCACACTACAGACAAGCCTTACGAATGTGGACAGTGTGAAAAATCCTTTAGTCACAGAGCCACTCTCACTGTCCACCAGAGAGTGCACACTGGGGAAAAGCCCTATCGCTGTGAAGAGTGTGGGAAGTCCTTCAGCCAAAGTGCCAACCTCATTAAACACTCCAAAATTCATACTGGAGAAAAGCCTTACGAGTGCGGGGAGTGTGGCCTCTGCTTTCGGCAAAGAGCCACCCTCATGAAACACCAGAGAACCCACACTTCAGAAAGGCCTTACGAATGTAGGGAATGTGGTAAGTTCTTTAAACAATACTTCTACCTCATTGAACACCGTAGGATTCACACCACAACAGAATTTTATGAGTGCGAGCAGTGCGGGAAATCATACACGCAAAAGGCCACCCTTGTCAGACACCAGAGAGTCCACACGGGGGAAAGCCCTTATAAATGCGAGGAGTGTGGGAAAGCCTTTGAATACAAATCCAGACTTGATCGCCATCAGAGAACTCACACTGGGGAAAGGCCGTATGAGTGTGGCAAATGCGGGAAGTTCTTCAGGGAGAGCTACAATCTAGCTGAACACCAGAAAATCCATACTAAAGCAAAGCCTTACAACTGTGATCAGTGTGGGAAATGTTTTAGCCGGAGAGCGGATTTGGTCAAGCACCAGAGGGTTCACACAGGAGAACGGCCTTACACGTGTGGGGAGTGTGGGAAGACCTTCAGTCGAACAACCAACCTTGTTCAGCACAGCAGAATTCACACTGGGGAGCGGCCATATGAGTGTGACCAGTGCGGGAAATCTTTTAGCCAAGTCTCTACTCTCACCCGGCATCAGTTACTCCATGCTGGAGAAAGACCTAAATATAGCAAATGAAGTGCATCTTAGACAGCCCTCTAGTATCTCCTAAGACCAAAAATGTCACAGAAAGGCAGAAAATGTGGGAAATCCTTCAACACAGGGTAGACATCACAGCTCCTGGAGGCCTGCGCTGAAGACACCCTTAGACATCCCAAGAGTGTTGCGTTGTCGTTCACTATGGCAGACTAGAGCCTCACACAAGTCTCCAGAGGGGCAGAGTACTGTATGAGCTCCAGGCATGTGTAGTATGTACTGAAGGCACCCTGCACGTTCCAGACAGCCAATCTCCCTTGCCAGAACTAATTAACTGCCATCATGTCTCCTAAAAAGTGTCTCTCATCAAGCAACTTGCATTGAGTGCATATTCCCCCAACATAGTCTCCCCTTCCCTAGTGAAAGCCTCAGTTGCCTGTACCCTGCAAATGACCTTAATCCCTTCTTTGGGTCTGTTTTCTGCCTAAAAGAACCTGGTCTGGGTTTATCTGGAGGCTTCAGGGAGGGCTATCTTTTTTTTATTCTCACACAACTCATGTAGCTGTTTCTGTACTCCAAGATCACTAGCCAGTAACCTCCTGCTGTTTCGTGCAATAATAAAAGCCTTATGGTTTTTTTCGTGTACTTTTAATCAAAAGTTTCTATTCACAGCCTTAAGTGGGTAAAATACTACTGTAGGCCCTGTTTGTATAGATTGGAACAGTGTTTGAGGCAGCTCCGTTCATGTTTAAGTGGGGGTACTGTCATGGGAAAGAGTACTTCTTACTTATGTTGCTTTCCAAGACCTTTAGTGGAACAAAGCAGAGTGTTTAGTCCCAGCTTTTTGCCTCAATGCCTGCTTTTGGTTTGTTTGTTGGAAGGAAGGTGTTTAGTTTGCATTTAGACCACTGGTTACTTTGAAGGTCAGGTCAGTTGTTAGTGCTCTTAGAAAAACTTAAAACGTATTCCATCATTCCTGTCGTCATGATCTGACATGATGTCCAAGATTGCTGAATATTAATATGTACATTGATTAGTTGAGAGACAGAGTCTTTATATCTGAAAACAAAGACAGAGACCACTGGTATTGCATTCTGGAAAACAATTTGCCCATATCTGTGTCCTGAAATTTTCACTGAGTCTGAATTCAGGCTGTGACATAATGATTTCAGCTGCTTATGACAGGATTTACTATGAGAAACATCAGCATAAAGCAGAGCATGAAGATTCAAAAGCTACAGTTTTTTCCAGGAACCAAATGTGTTGGAGTTGCAGACAGCAGCCATAGTTGCAATGGGAACCATAAAAGAAGCCAAGCACTTCATTGCTAGGGCATAGAAAAAATACCTTGAAGGCTCCAGGCTGTTCAACTACAAACTCATGGGAAAGACTTTCCCTTTTAAAGGGCACTGCTAAGGTTTTGTAAAGAATTGCTTAGGGAGATGCTTTCCTGGGTCCAGCTCCCATAAGAAGGCTACTGCAGTTGTGAACCAAGGAGACTGGTTCTGCTCCAACTAGCAGCATTAATACCATGGACATAGTGTTCCTCTTACAGGCAGGCAGAACAGAAGTTATGTTGTGGAGGCTTCTGTTGAGCCCAGAGAATAGCCTGTGATGCTAACTACTGTGGGCCAAGGTCAGTTTCCTCCAACGCCTCTGGAGATTCATGGAGCTTGAGAAGTTAAGACTGAAGTGCATGTTGTATGTCAGGAACATGGGATGTCTGCCAAGGAAAACTGCCAGGACCAATTAGAACCAGTCCAATAGAGTCTATGCAGGCTACAGAAAAGAGAGTCTTAGGAAGAGGCATACTCAAGTGTTTTGGATCTCAGGTGATGGCAGTGTGTGATCCTGATCCCAGGAATGAAGCTACAGGATTTTCATTCAAATGTTTGTTTGTTTTTCTCTCCTTTGTTCCCATTAATCCCGTCTGTGGTCCACTTCTTCCCTTTTAAAATAGGAATGGTTACACTGCACCATTGTAGTTTGGATTTACCTAACCTTCTTTTTGGCTCGGTTAAGTGTTTACCTTTGTTCTCAAAAGAAACTTTGAGCTTCTGAACAGTAACGAAACCATTAAGATTGAAGACAGTTGAAGTGGCACTAAGTACATTTTGCGTCATAAGATGGCGATGAGCCATTTTATGGTTTGGATTTGAAATGCCTCTCAAGATTTAAAAATCTGCTTCCCAGATAGTAGTGCTATTTTGGCAGATGGTAGGGTCCACAGGAGATGAGGCCCAGGTGGCAGGAGTCAGTCACTAGGAGCAGATCTTTTGAAGGTTATACCCAGCCCATAGTTAAGTGGCTCTCCACCTGTGAGCTGTGAGCTCACAAATTTACATTATGATTTATAATAGTAACAAAATTACAGTCATGAAGTAGCAAATCATTTTATGGTTGGGAGGAATCACTACAATATGAGGAAATATATTAAAGGCTGTCAACATTGGGAAGGTTGAGAACCACTGGCCTAGTTGTGTTGGCTGCCTCTCTGCTTTTATCATCCTGTGAACAGCCTTTGCTGCCTTGAACTAAGCAGTAATTTACCCCCACCCTAGCTTCCCAGTAGGACATACTGAGCCCTTTGGAATGGAACCAGAGTAAATCATTCCTTCAGTTCTGCAAAATTAACATGCTGATGTATAACAGATGTGCATTTATGTGTACATTTTTATGGTATATGCATTGATCAGGTTATAAATCCATAAGGCCTTCATGATTTCAATAATGTTTATATTCAGAGTTTCTCTTCTCTTGTGTGATCTGGTTTCCACAGATTTTTAAGTATCTGGTGACTTGCTTTCCTTCATAATGACTTGATTTTACATGGAGCTTTTAGAATTTTTATTTGAAGAGAATAATAAAGTGCTTGCCATTTTCTAATTATTTTCATATTGGATAATTGGTTTAGATTTGCTATTGTGCCTATAATGAACACATTGTTATTTTTATTGTTAAGCAGAATTCTATTTGTTCATCTGTTAATGATCAAGCAGCCTGTGGCCAGTTGAAGACAATTAATAAAGTTACAAAGAACACAGGTGTGCAGTTCTTTTTTGGAAAGTCTACTTTACTTATACTAGTGACTTTAGTTAAAGGAACTTATACATTTAAAAAACTTCACAACATGTTCAAACTGATCAAGTCCATTGTGATTCGCATTAAGAAGCACTCTTAGAATGTGCTGGTAGTCTGACTACAACATCTGTAAGCCCATTGATTGCCAGGGTTTATTTGGTTGACATGGCAAGCTAGGCAAGTGTTCTTTTCCTCCCTTACTGCTCCGTGCATGTCCCTTCTGAAGCTGTGAGCTTGATCCAAGAGGAAAACGTTCCCTGGTAGAGAAGAAGAAGCCTTTGATCAAGAATATATGAGTATTTGCCCTCTCCAGCTAGAACCTCCAAGTAAGCACTCAAGAAAAGAACTGTCTAGTAGTTAAGAGCTAGTGCTGATTTTCCAGTGGAGCCCTGTTCAGTTCCCAGCATCTATGTCAGATAGTAATGGCTGACCTTGACTCCAGCTCTGGGAGATCTGATAACTTCTTCTGGCCTCTGTGAACACACAGAGAGAAAGGAAGAGGGAGAAATAAAAATAAATATTAAAAAGAAAAAGACTTCAATGGTTGAGCATTCACCCTAAATAGGACATACTAGTCTCTCCAATGCTCAGGAAATGCTATTGAAGAGGAACCAGAAAGAATGTAAGGGCTTGAAGATGAGAGAGGGCTTCAAAATGCCATCGTATGCGTAATACACAGCCATATTAATCACAAACTGAACATCTACACATGACCCCCAATTCATCTTCTTCCTCTAGTGACCTGGTCCTTGTCTGTGTCTACTTTGCCAGTCTCTACTTCACCTGTCTACTTTTGTTCATAGAAAGAGACTCCAAAACTTCAGATTTTTGTTGTCTTTTGGTTTGGATGGTCTCATTGATGCCATATGAGTCAAATAGTTCTATGTCACTACTTTTTTTGCTACTCTTGGCGCTTTCCACAGCAGTTCCCCTAACCCAAGAGATTCTAAAAGGGCAGGGTTGACCCCAGGCTCAGGACTATATAAGAGAACACCACCGGTCTCTTTATCCCAAAGGACCCTTGAAACATTGAGGGCCAGCTTGTTGGGGTTTCTGTCCCGCCCCGTACCCACAGCCGGCAAGTCCCAAAGAAAATCACACAGAGATTTCCATAAATTATTAAACTGATTGGCCCATTAGCTCAGGCTACTTATTAGCTCTTGTAGCTTATATTAACCCATTGTTCTTATCTATGCTAGCCACATGACTCAGTACCTTTCTCAGCCGGGCAGGTTACATCTTGCTTCTCGGTGGTCTGGGCAGGAATGGGGGGAGCTTCCTGCTTCCCAGAATACTGTTCTCATCGCCCCGCCTCTACTTCCTGTCTGGTTGACCCACCTATACTTCCTGCCTGGCCAATCAGCATTTATTTAAACCATGATTGACAGAATACAGACAATTCTCCCTCACCAGACCCTAACTTGTTCTGGAAAGTTGGTTATTGCGACCCCACAAGGCTCTGTGGACAGACACTTAAAATTTCTAGCAGCATGAACACTGAAACCAATGGGGGACGCTGTGGAGCTAAGGAAACTACATTACCCACAATTTTTTGAGCCGAGTGGCAAAAGGTTGGACCAATGAACTCTGAGAAAGACCTTTTAGGTACTAGAACTGCAAACTATAGGCAAAACTTCCTAAATCTCTGCCAAGCAGTCCTTGTAGCTGCTTTGGTGTTACTTCTGGCTATCACTGATATAAGAGTATGGAATGGGGACAAAAGTGAGCGGAGAGGACAAGCAGCGGGTGCAGGTTTACGTTGCTACCACTGGCCCCTGTGAGGGATGCTCGAAGGTTTGCCCAGTATGATGGCTGTTGCCACAGTGGTGCAACCTGCTCAAGTGACCTGTTCTTCCAACCTCACCACAGTCCTACATCCCCGAGAGAGTTCTGTTCTCACCCTTACTGTTGAAATCCCTGCGTATAGAACTGTACTGAGCTAGTAAGTGGAATCCCTGCTACTGATGGCGATGTGATTGGGTGAGAGTGGGGCCCGCAAAGGACTAATTGGCAGGTGCGGTGCGTGTCTTGTTTGTGAGATTGAGAGGACTATTTATGCCTTACAATGAGAAGGTGAGGAATTTTCCTTGCAGCCTTACGGATCTGGAACTTAGTGAGTCTCAAAACAGAAGGGCATTGTTTAAAGACACTCGGAGTAGACTGGAGGGGTTAACTGGAAATTGGTTAACTCAGACAGGAAGATTGAGTCTTCTAGGAGCCGACTTTGTGTGCTAAAACCTAGGGATAAATAATTCAGAACGAATAAAACCGAGTAGCTCCAGGATTGGATAGGGATTGCAGGAGGCCTGAGCTGGTGAAACCCCTACCTTGATTCTTGGCAACCTTCTTCCCACAGATTCTCATGACTACCAAAGCACTTATGGGGTATTCGCAGTTGAGAAAGAGAGTTCCAGAACCTTCACTGATGACCTCACTCCTTGTCTCTGGAATGGTGTGCTAAACTGATTGTTTCACCAGTTCCCACTGAGTGGACTTGGAGAACCCCAAGCCATGAGTGAAAACCCAGGGTGGGGTTATGTAGAAAGGTTTCTCTTGAAACTCTTAGCAACCAGTGGGGTGAGAGAAGAAAGGCTACCCCAGGCATGGCTTCCACAATATGGAACTGAAATATGAGGCTGAACTGCCTTAGCGATCACAGGTTGCCTTTCCTTCTGCTGAAAATTAGAGCTCAGGGCAGAAGTCAGGCCTGGGATGTCCCGTGTCTATTCTGGAGATGGTGGGAGCAGACATGATTTGGTGAGATTTTATCAGTTTCCCCATGGCTGCAGCAAGAACACACTGTAAGGGTTACAGCTGAGATGAAAAGATACCCTGGTAGCTGGGAGCCAAGGAATATCTCACCCAAGAGATTTAGTGGGAGGGAAAAAACCCAGGATGGTATCTACCTCTGCTCAGCACAGAACTGAGCAAGGCTTATGCAGAGATGCTTGGGGAGAGGGGTGGAACCTTTCAGGGTGAAGCTTCCCAGGGTGGAGGTTGGTGGGATTTCAAGTAGTGTGGGGGGGTGCAGGTCCAGCCATTAGAGCAGTTAGAGTGTTCTGTGGGTGGGACCTGGCAGTTGGAGGTTCCAGGGGAGGGGCCTGGGAACTCATGTGGCTTGTGGGACCTACACACACTATGGGGATAAAAGGAGGTAATGGACACCCTAGAGTCTTAGCTAACTGCCATAGTCCAGGGAGCGCTTGGTGTGGCTTCATCAGTGTAGTGACCAGAGGGTCAAAAGCTGTGGCTGGGCTCTGGGTTGCTTTTTCATTTAAGAAGTCTGAGTTTATCTTCAGGGAAAATGAGAGAAGGGTAAAATAACTCAAGGGATTCTGGATTTTTAGATTTTTATCAGATGGAAGCTTAACTACCTGCATTTTAAAGTTGACTGTAAAATTTGATTTGGGGATATATATTAGGATATCTGAAATTTTGTTTTGGCCATCTAAGAATGAGGTGGAAATTCTTACATGAATATGCACCCCTGTACTTCCAGCAGCTAGGGATAGAGGAGGGCAATCAGAAGAGAAATATAAGCATATTTTTAGTTTTAAAAATATTTTAAACTTTAGTTTTTGGTCTATTACTATTGTGTATTGTGTGTACATGCACACCACAGCATGTGTATGCAGGTCAGGGGAACAATCCTCCTACATTTACTTGGGTTCCAAAGATCAAACTTGAGTCCTCAGACCTGAGCAGCCAGTGCCTTTACCCACTGAGCCATCTCATTAGCTATATTTTCAAAAGGATCAGAGAACAAGAATTTCAAAGAGCAGCTGTGGACACATCTACTTGAAAGATGGTCCTGCAGGTCAGGATCCCTGGGAAAGATTAAGCTTGGAGACACCCGAAAGGGCTGATGTTGGCCTGAGAATACAGCCTGACTTAACAGGAAATGGAATCGCCTTATGTTGCCTGGGCTCATCCACAGCTGCTGAAGTCAAGCAATCTTCTCCCCAAGTATGGGCCCTACGGGTGTGTGATGCTGTACTTGGGAAAGTCCTGGGGTTGATGCTCAAGAAAATAAGAGCCGGTGGTGATGGCGCTCACCTTTAATCCCCACATTCGGGAGGCAGAGACAGGCGGATCTCTGTGAGTTCAAGGCCAGCCTGATCTACAAGAGCTTGTTCCAGGACAGGCTCCAAAATTACAGAGAAACCCTGCCTCGAGAAACCAAAATGAAAAAAAAAAAATAAGAGTGGGTTCAAGACTAGTTCTCATGACTCGAGTGTCTGGGTAGAGTTGATGGGCGTCACGAAGATGAAAAAATGAAGGAAAAGAATTGAGTGAGAATCTAGTGAACAGGCAGGAATCAAAGGCTTCCTAGAAAGAGTGGATGTAGAGAAGCTGAGTCAAGATGGCAGTGTGGCCACAGTGATTGCCTGTTCACCAGACTCGGCTCACCAGCATTCAGAAGTGTCTGAGGCATTTCAGTCAGGCTGGTGGGTTAGCTTAGAGTCATAAGGGCTTGTCTATGCAGTCTGGAGTGGAAAGCCTTGGGGATTAAGCATTCAGTTGTTAGAGATAAGAAATCTGTAGTTGGGGAAGCCGTATCAAGATAATCCAAGTTGAGCAAAGCCACGGGATTCTGTGATTCCCTGGATGGTTGTTGGTAGCTGTCCTGCTTGGCTTTAGCTGTCATCTTGACACAGCCTAGAGTAACCTGAGAAAAGCAATCTCAGTTGAGGCATTATACAGATTACAGTTAACATGACTTTCAACAGCATTTTTTCTTCTTTCAGATTGTTGGCATGAATCAAAGTATGAAGAAAATTCTTCTGTGCAGAGTGTTTATATAGAAATGCCACAAGCCAGGACTCCAAAAGAAGGTCTACTTACTGGGAAAACTCAGCCCATTTAACATCTGCGTTCCTATCTTAATGTTTTGCAACTGAATGACCTATCTGGACAAAACTTGTTCTTTGTAGAGGCATGTTCAATCCTCCAGGGCCAAAAGCATCACAGTGCCAAGATCCCATTAAGGGGAGGGGTGGACAGTGACCCCTCATGAAAAACTGCATAGTCTATGTGTCAGGGAATCCCGTCACCGATAGGAAAATTAGAAAGGACTTCACAACTAGATGGGAGTTTCTTCGGTACCAGAAAAGTCCCAAAGATGAGAAGCTAAATGAAATCACCAAGTCACCTCTATAGAGGCTAGTAGTAGAAAAAGTCACTTAAAGTCCCAAGAATCCAAAAAACCTTCTAGCTACAAACTCAAGCTTGTTCAGCACGCAAAGGTATGTACTGGAGAAATGGATTATGAGCCTAGAAGATACAGACAAGCCTTACAAGATAAATACTCACTTGTGCCATTCAGAGAGTTCACATTGAAGAAAGGCCTTATAACTGTAAGGAATGTGGAAAATGCTTTAGTCAAAAGGCAGCACTTACTACACACCAGAGGCTTCATACTGAAGAAAAAACATACAAATGTGGCGAATGTGGGAAGTCACTCAGTCAGAGCTCCAACCTCACTGAACACTGTAAACTTCACAGTGGAGAAAGGCCTTGAGTGTGGAGAGCTTTGGATGCAAATCCAATCATGTCTGGTGTCAGAGAACACACTGGGGAGAGGCCATATGAATGTGACAAATGTGAGAAACTGTTCAGGCAAAGCTTCAGCCTTGTTGAACATCAGCGAATCCACACCACGATGAGGCTGTATGCGTGCAACCAGTGTAAGAAATCCTTTAGTCAAAAATCTGCTCTCATTGTCCATCAGAGAGTTAACACTAGAGAAAGGCCAAATAAGTGTGGCGAACGTGGAAAATCCTTTAGCCAAAGCTCTAACCTTATAGAGCACTGCTGAATTCATACTGGAGAAAAGCCTTATGAGTGTGGGTAGTGTGGAAAATCCTTTGACCAAAGAACTACCCTCATTAGACACCAGAGAATTCGCATGGGAGAAAGGCCTTAAAAGTGTAGGAATGTGGCAAATTTTTTTTTTTTTTTGCAAAACTTGAGCTTCATTGAACATCATAGAATTCACACTACAACAAAAATTTATGAGTGGCCAGAGTGGGAAAATTTTTAGCCAAAGAGCTACCCTTACCAGACACCAGCCAGTTCACACTGGAGAAAGGCCTTATGAATGTGGGGAATGTGGCAAAGCCTTTGGGTACAAATCCAAACTTGATCGTCAGAGAACTCACGTTGGGGAAAGGCCCTATGAGTGTGCTGAACGTGGGAAACTCTTCAGGCAGAGCTATAGTCTTGTTGAACACCAGAGAACACATACCAGCGCAAGGCCTTATGGGTGCAGCCAGTGCAGAAAGCCTTTAGCTGGAGGGCTGCCTTTATTAAACATCAGAGCATTCATCCTGGGGTGCGGCATTATACCTGTGGTGAATGCAGGAAATCCATCAGTCGAAGCAGCAGCCTTACCCAACATTGCAGAACTCACACTGGGGAAAGGCCATATGAGTGTGACCAGTGTAGAAAGTCATTTAGGCAAGTCTGTCCTCAACACCAAGTAGTCCACACTGGAGAAAGGCCTTATGAATGCATCAAATGTGGTAAATCGTTTAACCAGCATTCAGTTTCTTTCAACACCAAAAAAATGTCATGGCATTGGGAAATATTCAGGAAGGCATCAAATATGGGAAATTCCTTAACATTGTGTCTAACATAGCTCCTGAAAGTCCACATTTTAGAAAGGGCTTAGAGCAATAGGTAATGTAATCTTTGCTCTTAGCAGACGAACTGAACAGTTTGGGGGGTTTGTTTGTTTTGTTGTTTGTTTGTTTATTGTGTGAGATAGGATCTCCTTAAGTAGCTCTGGCTGTCTTAGAAATCACTGTGTAGAACAGGTTGGCCTCAAACTCGCAGAGATCCATCTGCCTCTGCTTCCCAAGAGCTGGAGTTAAAGGCATGCAGCACCACACCCAACTAAGGTGAGTTGAGCTTTTCAAGCATGCCATCTGCCAGCATTTAAACCCCATCATAAACATCTCGAAGCAAAGTGTCTCATGCCTTCCAGGCAGGTGTGATAGATATGGGAACTGCCCTTCAGCAGGTTCTGAGAGTCTCCCTTGCCCAGATTAAGTCACTGCCGCATTCTTTTATTAAAATAGCTTCGCCTCTTGGCACCTTCAACATATGTATACATGTACCTCCAACATGCCAGTGCTCCGCTAGAGGAAAATATCAGTAGCCTGCACCTTAGGGATGGCACATTTCCTTTTCTGGCTGTATACTAATCTATAGTTTACTGTATACAAGCCTACTAAACAAGAGACCTGTAGGGGAAGCTTCCTTTAAATTCTTGGCCTGGTGTTACTCTTTGGAGTTGAAGTTGAGTTGAAGTTGATTTTATTCCCTTTTCTGACAGACTATGCATGTCTAATTGACACTGAGACACTCACTAAACAGTCACTTCCAGGAGCAGGAGTTACAGAACATTGTGAGTCAATCAACATGGGTCCTGGGAGCTGAAGAGAAGTGTTCTTAACTGCTGAGTCATCTCTATGGTCCCTTTTTCTCAGCCATACCCACCCCTTCATCAGCTCAGCTAGTTCCCAATACCCAAACAGGCTATCAAGATTAAAACAGCCCATTCCACCCCAGGACTTTCTTATTTCATCAGACCCACCATCCATCCTGCTTGTTATACATTATCCGTGTGTCATGCTTCATCCCCTCAACTCCATCACCAGCACAGTAGTCTATGAATTCATTAAAGCTTCAACTCTCCTTTCTACACCGGTCTCTTGATGTGGGATTCCCCTCTGTATGCTGTGAGAACCACTGGTAAATAGAGAAGTTGATTTGGGCCTATTGTAGCACAGAGTAGGACAGGGCGGGAATTCCAAGCAGATAGAGAAGAGAGAGTAGACAGAGTCGAAGAGATGCCTTGTAGCTGCTGGAGGAGAAAGACACGAGCCAACTGCCAGGAACCTTACCAGTAAACCACAAGCCTCATGGTAAAATATAAAATAATAGAAATGGGTTAATTTAAGATGTAAGAGCTATCTAGAAATATGCTTAAGCTATTGGCCAAACAGTATTGCAACTAATATAGTTTCTGTGTGATTATTTTGGGTCTGGGTGGTCAGGAAATGAACAAGCAGCCTCCCACTACAGTCTCTGTGATCAGAACTGTTCTGGTCTTCTCTACTTACCCAATAGCTAATATCTCAGCAATCATAACCTGCAAGATTATGTCATAAACAAAGGTAATATGACTTACATTTCTTACTTTTGAGCCCTTTAGGAGTCATCTATGCCTGTCTTGACACCTGTTTCTTCAACTCTTGTCCTTCAGTTCTTTATCCTTATGTATAACTATGACCAGATTGTCTTCCTGATCCTCCACTGTACCTCTTGTGTTCCCTGAGAACTCCCTTTGTAACTTACCCTCTAACCTATTTGTATTTATATTCACAATAAAAACACACTTGTTGTTAACTCATGAGAAAACAAACACTGTTTTTTCATCTACAACAGACTGAGACATGGGCAGACTATATTTATAAAGCCTGGATCCTTGAAGATATATGCATTTGATTTCCATATTATGAATTAAAGTCCTTAAGCTGAAAAGATGGCTCAGCAGATAAGAACTTCTCAGTTGGAAACTTCCCAATACCCACATCAAGTGGCTCACAACCACGTGTAATTCCAACTCCAGGGCATCTGATACCATCTTCTGGCCTCTGTGAGTATTTACAGACATTTGCACATACATACATGGATACGCACAAAACATGTAAATAAAAGTAAAATCTTTCCAAAATAAAAACAAAAGCAAAAAATAGAGAAAAATCTAATCTGGTTTTTATGTGTTTGTATAAAGTTTTGCGATAAAATAAAATGTCTAGCATTAAGAGGTGAATTACAATGTTTATATGAAGATGTTTGTGTGTTTTGCAGTTCACCACCATGACTTTGTTCCTCTGGAATTTTGAGTAAGTTTTCAAACTACACAAGACAATCAGTGTTAGACTTATAAAGCAGGTCTGGAAGATATAATATCTCCTCACGTTAAGACTTTAAAATCTTTTAAAAGATCACATGAACTTGGGTGTAGTGGCTCATTCCTATACTTCTGGGGCTATGAAGGCCCCAGGTAGGTAGATTGTTGCCAATTCAAGACTAGCCTGTGCTATAGAGTAAGACACTGTTTTAAAGTAAATTTTAAACATGCATAAATAACTATTTCACATTTTCAAGGTGGGAATATACCATGTTCTGATTTTTGTGTTTATATGAAATAAGAACTGTGAGGTCATTGTGTGTGCTGATGAATGGTAAGCCCATGGCCTTGTAAATGCTATGGAATCACTCTCCACTGAGGTACTCCTTTGGGTGTCTGTGTGTGTGTGTGTGTGCTCTTGTTCTTATTCTCATTCTTTTTGTTGTTGTTCTTATTTTGTTTTGTTTTTGAGACAGGGTCTTGCTATATGGCCTAGGATGGCTTGGAAATTGTTATAAGGCCTAGGATGGTATGGAACTCATGATCTGCTTTCTTCATCCCCTTGAGTGATAGGCATCTGTCCTCTCACCGAACTGAACTGACTTGATGACACTTCCCCACATCAGGAGGTCCTAGTGTACTATGGCTTTGGTTGTGGCCCTATCTCAACTGGCATCAAGAAAGTTGAAGGTGCTGATGAGGTGTCTCAGCAGGTAAGGGTGCTTGTTGCCAGGCCTGGAAACCTAAATTTGAGATCCAGAACCCACATGGTAGAAGGTGAGAACCAACTCCTGAAGATTATCCTCTGACTTTCACTTGTATGTCATTGCATATACACACTAAATAAATAAATAAAATTATTTAAAAAGAAATTAAGAGCAAGGCATGGTGGTCCACACCTTTAATCCCAGAAGCAGGTAGATCTCTGTGTGTTCAAGGCCAACCTGGTTGGTATACATAGAAAATTCCAGGATACCCATGGCTACACAGTGAGACCCTTTCAAAAATAAAGCTGGAAATACCACCCCAAGAAACATCTTGATCCACCAGAGGGTTCATCTTGTCAGGCTGGGAAGTTGGACACTGGTTTTTCACAAAGTAGGAATTATGTGTTCTCCATTGAATACAACACAACCTTAGGTTTGTTCTCAACTCTGAGGTCTTCCTTTATTTTTGTCTATGTGTTCAATGAAGATCTGCAATATACTTGTAACACATAAGAAGCTAATAAGACCCCCATCAATCATTTCTGTGACCACTTACTCTGTTGTGTTCATACTGGTGAGCAGGACCCATGAGTGACTGAAATAAGACATATGTCCTGTCCTTGAATAGACAGTTTACTATCTAGTGTATTTCCAATGACTGACTTACATAGTATTGACACATAGTGAGGCTATTGAGCATTTCCTGTGGGAGGATGATTCATTGGTATCTCCTAGTAGTCTGAGAATTATTATAAGTAGGCATTGTGAAGGCAAATTTTTCTCTGTCCTTTTATTGTAAAGGCATAGTAAAGAAACAATCTTTTAAATCAGTAACTATGAGAGCCTATCCTTTTGGTAATAGAGAAAGCACAGGGATTCCAGATTGTAGAGGGCCCATAGGTTGAATAACCTTGTTGACAGCTCTTAGATCTGTCACCATTGTCCATTTACCAGATCTCTTTTTAACAACAAATACAGGAAAAATCCAAGGGTTGGTGGATTCTTCAATATGGTGAGTATCTAGTTGCTCCTGTACCAGCTGTTCTAAAGCCTGCAATTTGTCTTCTGTTAAAGGTCACTGCTTAACCCATAGTGGTTTCTCAGTTAACCATTTTAAAGGTAGGGCTGTTGGTACCTCTAAAGGTTTGCTAGTTGCTTTGTGTTCTTATACAGCCAGAATGGCTAGTGACCTTTGTTTATGATATCTTATAATATTCTTCCCAGAAACATGAGTTTCTGGGACTACAGGAATATAAATCTGGGTATTCCATTGCTGCAATAGGTCACAATCCCACAAATTCATTGTGATATTAGCCACATATGGCCTCAGCCTTCCTCTATGTCCTTCTGACCCTATGCATTCAACCCATTTTGTGCTTTGTTTCACTTAAGATAGGTTTCCAATTACTGGGATTGAACATCTGCTTCTTGAAGAGGCCAATTTGGATGCCAAGATTTTGGAGTAATGATACTCACATCTGCACCTGTGTCTAGTAATCCCTCAATTATAACGTTATTTATATGTACTCTTAGCTTTGATTTTTGATCATTCATAGAAGTCTGCCAAAATATGTGCTTCCTATTTCTTAATGGAATTTCTTATTCATCATGTTTATTTCATCATCCAGAACAATATGGTTTTTTACAGCAGGCAATGGATTTTTTTTATTTTCCTGGTAAGACATGTCCTCCACAGTTACTGGGAATGACTGGACCACATTTGACTTGGGAGCCTGTGAGAGGAGTTTCTTGATGGTATCAGGTTATCTTGTTCTGTCTTTTGTTGATCTGCATTCATTGGTCCCTTGTCAGCCTTTGCTACACCTCCTACATAATCCAGAAGGTTGATAACTCTTATTTTTGCCATTCCCAGAGAAGACATTATTTCTAGGAATTTTTTTGTCTACAATCCCTTCTCAGATTCCTATTCTGCCACAATTAAAACATTTGGTATTTTGATGTCTCCTCATACCTTTGGAAATTACTTCTTCTACCCAAGACTCGGTTTTATAGTCAAATGTCTCAACATTCATTGTATGCAGGATCCATTTATCCACTGGTGCTGATCTAACCTTTAAAGACTCAAATATATTTTGCATTCTAAGTTGGCATTTTCAAA